TGGGCAAACCGGTTGTTAAATTAATTGAATCCCACCACTGTCTTAAGCATATAGTACAGATTAGATAAAGTGAATGTTATGGATCTAAGGTCAATGTATTGTTGCTTATGTTTATTTTTTTAATGTTTTTATATGCTATTAGGTGCTCAGAGTCACTGTGGTAAATTGGGGGAGGGTCATACAGACTGAGTCAATAAATAAATAAGCTAAGTCCTTTTTAAAGTTGGTCTGGACAAAAAGTACCCAATCTATCCCTAATTTCTAAATGAAAAAAATAATTTCCTAAAATTTCCTTTAAACATTGGGGAAAGTTATCTATTTTGCTTAGGTAATTTGCTTGTAAAATATTTATCCTCTGGAGCAATTAAATCTCACTTTGCCTTGAAATGTCACACATAATTTTCCCTGTATTTGGACAGGGACTGTATTTGGACTAAAAACCCAATGAAAGAAATATGAAAAAGCCTTTAAGCTGTTTTTTGATAGGGTTTTTGTGCTGAAGCATATTGTTTGAGAACCACAGCAATATATGCAAGTTTTATTTTTTAAATGATATATAACATAGAAAGGCATTTTGTGGCAAAACAGGCAAACATTTTTCATTGCTTTCCTTGTTTGTCTATGGTGGTTTTTTCTTCTTCATTAGACCATTGAGATACTATTTTGCAACAATTCACTGAACCATGAATTTTGGTATTTGTATGGTACCAATGGAAATTGTATCAATGAAATTTAGTTCCCATTTCATTTTGAATGTATTTGATGTTACATAATAAATATAGGTTTATGATGATACTGTCGTTGTATGGTATTATCTGGATTTTCAGAAGTGTCAATCGTACTTTGCCAGTCTGTTTACAGAGAAAAATTAAAGTATTCAATGAATTAAATAATGAGATAAATTAATATGTAAAGCCAGGTTTTAACTTTATAGTACAACTGATAAATATGAACCAATCAAATTTTATTTATACAATTTATATGTCCTCCCATCTTACTGCAGGTGAGTGTAGGTGGTATACAAAGTTAAAAACAACAATTTAAACAACTTAAATCATACATTCCTGAGGTCATAAAAAGCTACTCCAATTCATAATACAACAACAGTAGCTCGTTTAACCTCTTGGCTCAAATTCATGGGATGCTTCTAAAAGCAAATTGTTTGCTTTTTAGGGTGTTACATACTTGTGTAGGGACTCTGTTAAATGTACCCAATATGTGGTATCTTGATACTTACAATTTAGATAAAATTAAGAAATAAATAATAAAAACAACAGATTTAGTAATAAAAACAATTATCCAATACACGTCTGTTTAAAAGTAAAATCTACTGAGATCAATGCATTCTGTTTTCACATAAATATGGATAAGCTAAACAATCATAAAAATAACTACCACGAATAAAAATACTAAATAATATCTCCATCAAGTCTGAACTGCCAGAAATAATTCTGAATGTATTTCTCTGCAATTACATCCAAGTAATTAGATAATTTTTAACATAAGTGCTTAAAATATATTAAAATAAATAGAACAAAATTAATGAAAGAAACTATTGCAGGTTGTATTGATATCTGGTTGCAGTGAATTTTCAGACATCAAGTTAAGAACAAATGAGAAAAAAGTACTTAATTCCTTGAACAAAGATAAGAAGTGGATGAACATAAGGTACAAGATTAAAATTATTTTCTACTAAGCAGTAATTTTAATTACAGCAACATTTTTGTTTTCTGCATAGTGTATGTGCTTAAAACCTATATGGTAATTTATATGCTATAAATTCTGTCCTACTTACAATTAATTCTGTTTCACAGTAGAGATGTCAGTGCCTGGGCTAAGACTTTCCTCGTCATGTCCTTTACCTGCTATTCCCCAAATTCAGAAGAACTTCCAGATTGCAAACCTACTGTTCTTGGGGGAATACAATCCCATCAAGAATCTATGATAGTATTTTGGGGGAATTAGTAGGCTTTAACCCAAAATTGCTTGGATTGAGTTTGAACCTTTTTTTCCCTTCTAAGCTTCTAAACACCAGGTCATAACTTCTATCAGCTCTCCTATTTGGTAGATGATACAGCTTTGTAACATTCACATGTTGATATTGTGCCATTGTGAATTGAAAGATAATTTCTCCCAGTAGTTTTGCATGGATATTAAATAACATTAAGGAAAGGATTGAGCTCTGCGATACTTTATACTGGAGTGACCAACCTGTTGCCACCAACACAAAATATGCAGACAGCAGTTCATTGTCAAAACTGAACAGCCTTCTCAACAGAGGGAGAGAGATATGACATCATTTATTTCCATTCTACAGCACAGTCCTTTCAATTGTTCTAAGAAGGCTCCAGAGCCATTTGCACTACTCAGGTGACCCTGACAACACTCCAGGTGGCCTCAATGACTCTCTAAAAGAATACAAATGAACAGGTGTCTGCAAGGACTATAAATCCTTCAATTCCCCACCATCCAGCCAGAACTGAAGAAGCTTCCTGGGTGAGAACCAAAATGTCCTCAAAGAAAAACCAAAAAGTCCAGTTGCCTCTTGAAAAAGCACCTTTGGGACAACCATGACCTGGATGACTGAGAATCTCCATAGACAAATGAAGTAGATAAGCAAGCCTGTTCTGATTGTATCACGAAAGAGTAAGCTCAGATGTCCCATTGTACTCACTCCAGGAAATGTCCAAACATCTCTTTACCCATTTTTGAGAACTCTCAAAAATGAGCTCACTGGGATCAGTGGATGAGGAGCCATACCCGTTAGAGCTTTCAATGTTAAAATGTGCACATTTGAAGCTGTAAAGTATGGAGAAATTTTATTTTCCCAGAGATTGGCAAACCCTATCTCAAGTCCACATGGCCAAAACTGAACAGCATAATTCAAGAGCATCTGGAGGGTCACAAGTCTCATAAACCTTCTCTGAAACTATAACTCTATAGTAATATAGTTATAAATAAATCTTAATGAACTCTTATTTATATGTATGATACCACTATATCTTCTTGATAATGAGAAATGCATCTCATTTTATGTTATAAATTAATGTCATATATTTAGCACAAGTAAATAAAAACTTATATATTTTATGTACAGATATCCAATGGAAGGAAAAATAAAAACAAGAGAAATGAAAGTAAACTGGTAATTATTTTATACAATATGTTATTATTATTTTAAAATAGTAATAAAAGTTATTGGTGAATTATTGTATGGTATTTCTTTATACTCCATCCTCTCTAGATTTTATCTAGAGCTGTGGTAGTGCAATGGTTAGAATGCAGTACTGCAGGCTATTTTGGCTGACTGATGGCTGCCAGGAGTTTGGCAGTTCAAGTCTCATTGGCTCAAGATTGACTCAGCCTTGCATCCTTCCGAGTTTGGTAAAATGAGGACCCAGATTGTTGGGGGCAATATGCTGACTCTGTAAACTGCTTAGAGAGGGCTGTAAAACAGTGTGAAGTTGTATATAAGTCTAAGTGCTATTGATTTTTTAAAAATCAGTGGATTTACTGTTTATGATATTTACACATTGGTATTTTCAATATTTTGAAAAATTTATAACTTCTTTTTCAGTCTTATTCAGGCACAGTTAGGATGCATTCCCATACAAGATTTCACCTTGACGCAAGATATAGGAAACATTTTTAGAAATGGCATAAGACTTACAAAATGTATGGTAAAATTTAAAATTACTCTTTTTGTTGTATATTTGCTTACAGCTAATCCTTGTTTAGTGACCACAAATGGAACTGGCAACTCAATTATTAAGTATAGTGGCTCCTAAGTAAAATAGTGCAATTTTACAATGTTCAGTTTTCCTTTGCTTTACAGACCTACAAAGACCGGACACAAAGTTATTTTTGTAATCACCATCGAACTGGAGATGGTCACTAAATGAGGCAGTGACTAATTTAAATTTGTAGGGCATTTTCTAATAAGTGTGAGTGATTTATAAGAGTAAAAAAGAGAAGCAATGTATTTTAAAGAATAATAATAAGCTTACATCCTGCGATGATAGTTGTAATACCATCAAATTTCCACATCTGCCTATTCCAGGTCCTTGAAAATAATTCAAAACAAAAATGCCAAATCCATCTGAACATCTGGCTAACTGTGCAATATACAGTATAAATATAATGTAATAAGGATAATATACATGAGCATGTATTTTTTAATCTCTTCCTGTTTTTACACTTGTTTCTTTTCTTGTGTAGGGTTATCTGAATTTCTGGCTACCCATAAAAACAACTTTATTGTATTACTAAACTCTTTGATTTTAGCGAAGTGCTTCAGATGTAGACTTTGGGAAAATTCACTGAATGTATCCAAACAGCTTGAAAAAATCGGTAGGTATAATAAAATTTATTCTACCTTTCAACTCAGGATACAGTACAAAAGTTAAACTTTTTTCTGTTTAGAGTAAAATCCAATCATTTCAATCTCATCACATAAAAATATTACGATAGAATTGTTTTCTTTTTCCATCCTCAGATTGGACAAGTCTTGAGATATTGAAGAAAAATTAAATTCAGGAGATGTGTGATTAATGTTACATTAAATATCACTTGTGAAAATGTTCAGAATCTATGGATGTTTTGTAGACCTTTCTTATAGTAATTAATATGCTGCTTAGCTTTACAAAAGGAAGTGGCAACAGTGATGAGAATTTTGCACAGCAGTATGTTATACATTAGAAGTACAAACTGCAAAAGAATATTGAGGATTATTCCTACATTTTCTATTGTTTTTTTTAAATATCAGATTTTAAAAAATTACAGGTGATATTTGCTTAACAGCCAAAATTAGGATTGTTAATATTGGTTGTTGAGCAAAGCAATAATTAAAAAAGACACCCACATGACTGCTTTACTCAATGATTGTAATCCTAGCACTTTCAGTTGTGGTCATTAAGCTACCTCTCAAGTTATAAAGTGGATGGAGAACCACCAGCTGGATATTGTTGATGCTTTGGACTTTGCCAACAATCTCTGCTGTTGACTTTTTTTCCCTATTACCCTGCACTTCAGTCTAAAACACCTCCAGGGATAAAGCACCCAAACTGCAGTCTGGAAAAACCTCACCATCCTTAAACCATCAGCCACATTTTGAAATATATTTCAGAGTAGATGCTTAGTTTAAATGATATTTTATATTTGCTTATTAGTAAAAAAAAGATAAGTTATGAGGAAATGCAATTTGACAAATTAATCTTTAGCATATTTCAATTTTCAATAGGCATGAGTTTATCAAATACAATGATGAATGCAGGACTGACATCCTTTAAAAAAATAGAAGATACAAATGCAAGAGAGCTTGAATTGGTATTTATTTTATAATTTTTATGTTGTGTGTTACATATACTATTCTACATTTGCTCACATATCTGATAAATCTGCATCAAGATACATTTTAATGAACATTTGACAATGCATTTTCAAGTCAATGGTATGTGCCCAAAGCAAGGCAGACAAACTGAATATACATTAACCCCAAATGCACTGTTGCCATGTTGATTGATTTAAAGAAGAACGCTAACAATGTAATGCTAGGAAGACTATGTTTTGTAAATAGCTTTTGTGCTATGTTTAACAAATATTGGTCTATGTTCTAAATTAATATGAATGCTGTTTGAATTTAAATTTCCAGATTTTGAACAGACATCCTCCTTTTGGAAATCAGATTAAAGAGTCAGTAGCACACCTTCCAAAATATGAACTTAACATAGAGCAGGTATATTTTTGTTTTGTGTTTCCACTACAAAACAACTGAATTCAAAAGAAAATTTAGAAGAAATTCTCCTTCCTAAAATTTTGCAAAATATTCATTAAGTACATTTGTGATTTAGGTGCTGATTACACAAAAAAAGTCTTCAAACTATGGAGCCAATAGTTCGTTATGATGTACTGGAGTCAAATGTAGTAGCTAGTACAGTATTGAGAGTGATAGACTAAAAAGCCTATAGTGAAGATTTATAATTGTAGATTGGAAAAATTGAGAAATTGAGCTCTGTGGTAAGAACAGCAGATGCTTTGTTATAATGTAGCAAGATAACTCCATTGGTCATACTGTCGGCCACATCACTAATGAGTGACATTTGCTCTTAAACTGTCTAACTCTGCATGGGATTATTTAATAATCCATACCATAGAATTAGCAAGAATGATCTAGGAACTAGATATAACAATTACTTAGACATCTCACCACCACCCATGTTTTCTCCTGAGTTTGAATATGCCTTGCTTTTCTAAATGCTGGTTTATACCACGGGTATATACAATAAGGCAAGCACAAGGGAAATTATACATGAGTGACAACATCATCATACAAACGCTGCAACTAAGGGGTGACACGACAGCGGTCTTCCAGTATTCGAGAGAACCTCACAGAAAAGAGGGGGACAACCTATTCTCCAAAGCACTTGAAGGCAAGACAAGAAGTAATGGTTGGAAACTTATCAAAGAGATATCCAACCTAGAACTAGGGAGAAATTCTTGTCTTCAGCTTGCCTTCAGAAGTTGTGGGTGCTCCATCAGTGGAGGTTTTTAAGAAATGATTGGACAGCCATTTATTCAGAATAGTATAGGTTCCCTTCCTTGAGCAGGGGGTTGGACTAGAAGTCCCTTCCAACTCTGTTATTCTGTATTCTATATTCTGTAACATATGTATCAGACTTTGGGGTCCAATTATGTAATGGTAGCATTAAGCGGAATGGCATCATTACACACGTGTCATAACATTGAAATAGCTTAGCATGGTATCTGAATCCAGCCAATATGAATCTATTCATATTTATTTACCATATCATATGCGAAAGCTAATTTTATTTTTGAATTGTATGTCATTTATTTTCAAGCTGGCAAAGTACAATGAAGCAGTAGCTGAAATCATAGTTACAATCACATTAACCAACTTTGAACAGCTGCAGATAAAAAGAACTGCTCCAGATTTTCATTATACAACCCTAGTAATAGGAGATAATGATAATCATGTGGTTTTTAGACAAAGGATTACGTGAGTAAATGTAATTTATTTTGAAACGTTAACAATTGTGCATTTTTGCACATTTAATTTTAAGCTATTGATTCACTATATACTTGCAGGGATTCTGCTTTGCTGAAAACTGGAAACTGGACTAAAAAGATTGAAGTAAGAAGAGCTGTTAATTCTGATGAGCTTAATATAAATCTAATCAGTTCTGAATATGGTAAATTAATTTATGGATTTGGATTTTAAAAATAAGTCTAAGTTTTAAATGGAGAACCTCTTGGGTTTCATGTTTCTTAAATTACTATATGCTGATTTTACAGTGAAACTGCATTTCTGCTTTACAACATATTGTGTCATGGAAAAAAAGTCATCCAGTGAATTTGAACAAAAAGCAATGGAGATCTGAAACAAAAGTTATTTACTGAAATATCTTAAACAATGATCACTGGGCTCCCAGCCAAACTGTCTGAGAAGCACATCAATAGATTGAAAAAGGTTGTCATATGAGATAATGACACATTTATATCAATGGTGGTATTCAGCTGGTTCACACCAGTTCTGGTAAACCGATAGCAAGGATTTGGTGTGGGTTGCCGAACCGGTAGTAACTTCTGGCTGGCCATGCCCCCAATCCGGCTGCCTAGTCACCGCTCGCTTGCCCCGCCCACCTGATGCTCGCTCACCCTGGGCCGGCCACCTGACGCTCACCTGCTCAGTCACTCCTTAAAGTATTTCTTTTTTTCCCCCTCCCAACAATCAGCTGTTCCTAAGATCAGCTGTACCAGGATTCCCCTTGCTTACTTACTGCTTCACCCAGGAGGCTTCCCTGAGGCCCAGAAAGGCAAAAAATGGAGGAGGGCCACAGCCCCCCACCCCCTCCATTTTTAGCCTTCCAGGGCCACAGGGAGGCCCCAAAACGAAGCATGGGGGAGTGCTATATGCCCCTCCTATCCTCCATTTTCTGCCTGACTGAGCCCAAGGGAAGCCTTCTGGGATCAACCCCCCCCCCCCAAGAAGGCTTATCTGACGCTCAGTACACCCCAAAATGGAGTGCAGGGGAGTGCTGCATGCTCATCCTATCCTCCTTTTTCTGCCTAACTGAGCCCAAGGGAAACTTCTCTGAGGCTCAGAAGGCCCAAAAGGGGGGGGAGGGGGTGCAAAAAGCAAAAACAAAAGAACCTCAAGCCCATCCAATCACATGGCTATGCTCCCTAGCCATACCCCCTAGCCATGCCCACATAACCGATAGTAAAAAATTCTGAATCCCACCACTGATTTATATAACTGTATTTTAAGGATGGAGCTTGGAATGAGGTTTAAGTTTTTAAACTGGTTTAGTCCAGTAGTTAAGCCTCTAGACTAGATACTGTGGGATTGTGAGTTCTAGTGACACCTTAGCCATGAAAGCCATCTAGGTGACTTTGGACCAGTCACTCAGCCCAACCTACCTCACATGGTGGTTTTTATGGAGAAAGTTGGAGAAAGGATATTCATCGCCTTGAGTTATTTATATAAATAATAAATATAATAAACAATAAAATAATTAGTATTTTATAATATTTTTATTAGAAAAAGTAATAAAAAACAAAACTCACTATGATTATTTTTACAATGGCAAGTGAATATTATATTTGTATAATAAGTACATTTTACCTAGTATATAATTCCTAGATCATTTGGACCTATAAAGAGTGTTATTGTTACCTAATAGAATGCATATCCATATTTTCTTCCACTCTCTGCAAGCTTGTTGGAAGATACAATCAATAGAAAACATTGGAAAAAGAAAAAGGAAGAGGCTCAGTAAAAGATATGTTTAAATATTTAAATTAGCTTCTGATCCAGTACTCTTACATACTATTTACCATACAAAATACATTGTAACATTCTGTTGGCAAGAGAGTGGAATTTGCATTAAAATTAGTTTTTCTTCTGTTCCTTCCATTTATTTATATTTTACATACACACACACACAAACACATATGTATTTGAGATATATTTGTAAAACTATATATATATATAATTCTCTCCCCTAATAGTTGGATTGGATATTCAGCAGAAATATAAACCATTTTACTTGGGACCAAAGAAGTTTGGAATCATGATAACTCATGGAAAATCTGATAGCTCTCAGACATCTTCAGTAGGGTCATCAAAATTAAGAACAAATAAAGGTAAATAAAAATTCCATATTAAATATTTATTGGTAGCAGCCGAATAGATTTTAGATAAGTGTTTGATGTCAGAACCCAGTTTGATAGTGAATAATGTATAACTATAAAGGGTACCGGCCTACTTCAGAAGTTTTTGATTGCAGAATATTAAAATAATTATGATAAGAATTGGCAAAGGAAAAAAAATCAATGTGCTTTTGGGTTTAATATTCAAAATGCAAATCCCACTTATTTAGTAGGCATTTGAAATTTGCCCAAGGTATTCTCTTTGTGATGATAAATAGCACTAGAATTCTGATGAATTTTTGTTATTTTAAAGTTTGTTTTTAATATTTTAAATAGCAAATAACTTTTTAATGATTTTAGGCCAATTCATTAAAAATAATATATAAAATGGATCCATAATGTATAGGTATTTTGTTTTTCGAATCTGAATATTTTAGTTGGTTTTTATTTAAATTGTAGATTCCTCAGATAAATTTTCCAGAGATTGCCTTACTGAACACAGTGGGATTTAATTTGGTACAAACGTTTTAGAAACGGAATGTATACTTTATGTCTTATCCTTTTGTTCTGACATTAAAGTGTTGGTGTATACCAGAGGTGCTATTCAGCAGGTTCTGACCAGTTCTGGAGAACCGGTAGCGGAAATTTTGAGTAGTTCGGAGAACTGGCAAATACCACCTCTGACTGGACATTTTACAGTATCCTTCTCTTGCCACGCCCACCAAGCCACACCCACAGAACCAGTAGTAAAAAAAATTTAATCCCACCACTGGTAAATTAAGGACAAATTCACTTAAATTATAGTAAACTTTAAGTAGTCTTATCACCTGTTTCCTACATGATCATTTTCAAATGTTTTTACATGTTCCTTCTTCACTTACATATTACCTTATAGAATTTGTGGAAAAAACAGTAAAATAATGTGCAAAGGCTGCCATTTTTCAGTGATTACCATGTATTTGATTCTGATATAATGTTTAAAGTTTTATTTTCTTTTATGCCATCAAATTGACATAAAAAAAAAGAAGCCACTTGTAGCCAAGAATCACTAAGCATAAAGAATGGAAATAGAAAATGCAATCACCACTGCAAAAATAAAGAAACATGTGGACATGATTGTTGTGAGTTATTTTTTTATTGTAACTTATACAGTACAGCTTGCATGTAGAGAAAGATTCACTCAGCCTCTTGAGTTTAGAAATGTGCACATTCTCATAAATGTAAACACTTTAAAAAATGGGTATATAGGAGAAAGCTTTACATTTGGAACATGACAGATTCTTAATGTACAGCAGCAGTCCCCACCCTTTTTGGCACCAGGGACTAGTTTCATGGAAGACAATTTTTCCATGGACAAGGGTGATGGATGATTTTACATGAAACCTAAATCCAGCACATGCATAGATGAAATTTTGCTTGCTCGTCTGCTGCTCATGTTCAGCTGCACAGCCCAATTCCTAACAGGCCATGGCCTGGTACATGAAATAATTGGTACGTGCAATGTTGTCAATAAAATGGAAGTGGTTGGCTGTTGTCATACAAGAATTTACTTGAAACTTTTATGAATTATTTTTCTTTTGTTTCTAGTTTTGTGTAACAAAAATAAAATATGCCTGTAAAATGAAAATATATATTACATTTTAAAGGTAAAATTGGAGTTTCAGAGAAATCTAACGTGAAGAATGAGTCAGCTTTTTCTTCATATCTTACTGACTTAAGAAACAGGCATGCTGAATCTGCCATTCCCCCAGTCAAGCGACTAAAGGTACATGAATTTGGAAAAAATATGTGTGCCCTTTTAAAATAAAATAACTATTTGAAATTAAGACCATTTTTGTTAGTGAAATATAATATCTAATGCTGAATATATCCTGTGAAATAGGAAAAAAAGTGGAATATTATATTAACATTAAAAATGCCTACAAAAAGATTAAGGCGACGGTACAAATTATGCCAGAAAAAATATTGGGAAATAAATGTTTTATAATCTTCTAGACCAGGGGTGTCAAACTCAAATTCATCGGGGGCCGCATCAGCAGTTTGGTCCCCATCAAAGGGCCGGTTGTATCTGTAGGTCTATGTGTCCACTCTTTATTATCATAAATTAATGTCACTGCATTCAATTATTACTGTTTTTTGTAATAATGTAAGTAATTCCCTCTGCATCAACTTTTCTTTTCTTGGACATTTTTGGGGTATTTGATTGTAGTTTATGGTCCCTATACCACTGTAAAGTGACATGGAAGTGGTCAGTATATCCAAAATTTACCGCTCCACCTGCCTTATATGTGCCCAGCCATCTGCCCCCTTTTAAAGTGCCCAGCCATGTGCCCCCTTTTATAGTGCCCAGCCATGTGCCCC